AGGAGAAGAAAAAGGCAGGAAAAGAAAGGAAAGGAAAAGAAAGGGGAGGGGAGGGGAGAAGAAGGAAAAAAGGCAGGAGAAAAAGGAATAAAGGAAAGAGGAAGGAAGGAGAGAGGAAAGGGAAGAAAAGGAGAAAGGGAAGAAAGCAGACGGGAGGGAAGGAAGAAGGGACGGAAGAAAGGAAGGGGACAAGGGGGAAGAAAAAAGGAAGGAGCAGGAGAGGGGGAGGGAGGTGAGAAAGAAGGAGAGAAGAAGGAAGAGAAGGGGAGAAAGGTGAGGAGAAGGGATGGAGAAAAGAAGGAAGGGAGAGGAAAGAAGGAAGGAAGTGAAGGGATGGAGGAAAGAGGAAGAGAAAGGGAGACAGGAGGAGGAGTGCTCAAACATTTAACAAGGGTAAAAGCAAAAGCAGGGCAGTGTTTTAAATTCATCTGTTCTCCATCATGCAAATCTCTGTGAATATATCTTTTATCACATTGCACTTTTCGGGGTTATAACTGAAAAATGTACGGTGATGTAACACCACTGAGTGCTTTTATCATGGGGAAAAATGCTCCTGCAGGGGAACAAGGCTTTGTTAATTCAAACCAGGACTCTTAAGCAACACATTTAACCTGGTTCCAGTATTACCTTGATCTCTGGATGTGCAAAATAAGTTAAGCAAGAGATGGAATGAGGGAAGAAAACACCCATGAAGTTTTCCTTACTCTGCAGTGTTTCTCAATCTCAGCAACTTTTAAGACTTTAACTCCCAGAATTCCCCAGCCAGCACGCTTTAAGGGGGATGGACTTCCACTCCCAGAATCCCCCAGCCAGCATGCTTTAAGGCGGGTGGAGTTCCATTCCCAGAATTCCCCAGCCATCATGCTTTAAGATGGGTGGACTTCCACTCCCAGAATCCCCCAGCTGGCATGCTTTAAGACGGGTGGAGTTCCACTCCCAGAATTCCCCAGCCATCATGCTTTAAGAGGGGTGGACTTCAACTCCCAGAATTCCCCAGCCGGCATGCTTTAAGATGGGTGGACTTCAACTCCCAGAATCCTCCAGCCATCATGCTTTAAGGGGGCTGGACTTCCGCTCCCAGAATTCCCCAGGCAGCGTCCTATAAGATGGCTGGCCTTCCACTCCCAGAATTCTCCAGCCAGCATGCTTTAAGTTGCATCTATTCCACTCCCAGAATTCTCCAGCCAGCATGCTTTAGGTCAGGGGTGTCAAACTCGCAACGTCACGTGACGTGTCGCGGCGTATTGGGACTTTTTCTCCATTGACGGCAATGGGGTGGGCGCGGTTTCGGCATGACGCATCCGGTCCACGGGCCGGCAGTTTGACACCCCTGCTTTAGGCTATGTGCACCTCATCTCCCAGAGTTCCCTGCCCAGCACACTTTTAAGAACGGTGGACTTCCACTCCCAGAATTCCTCAGCCAGCAGGTTTTAAGGGGGGTGGACTTCCACTCCCAGAATTCCCCAGACAGCATGCTTTAAGGTGGGTTGACTTCAATTCCGCAGGGGAATTCTGGGAGTTGAAGTTCACCCATCTTAAAGTTACTGAGATTGAGAAACGCTGGTTTAAGAGATTGTTGTCTCTTGTGATACAGACAAGCTACAGATAAAATTTCTCCAATCTGATACCTTTTAAGCTCAAATCCCAGCATTTTAGGACCGAGACAGCTGTTCTGACCCTATTATAAATATTCAAATCCCCCCCGACTCAAAACAGGACTGGTTAAAAAATTTCCAACAGTATACTGTAGATGGGACAGTATATAGGTAGTCCTACTTATGACCACAACTGAGCCATAATTTCTGTGGTTAAACGAGACAGTCAAGTGAGTTTTGCCCCACTTTACGACCTTTCTTGCCACGGTTGTAAAGCAAATCACTGCAGTTGTTAAGTTAGTCACACGGCTGTTAAGCGAATCTGGCTTCCTCATGGACTTTGCTTGTCAGAAGGTCGCAAAAGGGGGATCACGTGACCCCGGGGACGCTGCGACCGTCATACGTCCATGCCATGTGTCCAGCTTTTGAATTTCGATCATGTGACCACGGGAACGCTGCCGTGTTCGTACGTGTGAAAAACCGGGCCCAAGTCACTTTTTGCAGTGCGACTGTAACGTTGAAGGGTTATGAAACGAATCGTTTTAAGTTGAGGACTACGTGTAGTAGCAAATGTCCAGGCTAATGTTTTGGCCTCCTCCTCAATTTGTTTCCACCGCCAATGTTCTCCTCTGTCCCAAAACGGGACCGTGAGGGAACAACGCCCGAGCTTTCCAAAAATGAATGGAAATAAGGCCTCTCTGTACAGCAGGGGTAGTCAACCTTGGCTCTTTTATGACTCGTGGACTTCAACTCCCAGAATTCCTGAGCCAGTTAGTCCACAAGCCAAGGTTGACTACCCCTGCTGTACAGCATAGGACAATTCGTCATGGCCAATTTGCTGCGGGACAACTTGCCACAGCCCACTAACTACAGGATAACTCGCCGTGAGTCAATTCAACACAGGATAACTCAACGCCACCGCTCCTTCGACATTATTTTAATTTTTTATCATTCACATTTCATTTTGTCCCTCCTTTAGCATCTTTTCCTTAATGATTCTAGTCCATCATTTCTTTGATATTAGTGTAACTCCTGTCCTGCGGCTAGTGGTCCCGCAATGAATTGGTCGTGGCGAGTCGGCCACCTC